GGTCTGCATTGACCACTATTTTACAACCCGGCCCGGCCCGCACTTGGAAATTAACATAAAGTGCCCGGCCCGGCCCGGCCCGGACTTAAAATATCAAAAACCCGGCCCGGACCGGACCCGGACTTTTATTATATTATTTTGTTGTAAAAACAAAAAAATTGGCCAACTTAATTTTGGCCAGTTTAATTTCGGCCGGAATTAAGACGATTTTGGCCGGAATTACGAAAATCCGGGTTTGACGAAAATTCATGTGCCGGCCCGGACCCGGCCGGTGAATTTTGAAGAAAATTTGCCAGCCCAAACCCGGATCCGGGTCCGGGCCGGGTTAGGGTTTCCGGGTTCCGGGTCCCGTTTGCAGACCTCTACCCCAAAGTCCCTCAGATAAATATAAACAGTGAAAACGCGGTGGGATTCTTCCCCAGTAACACCGCTAAATTTTTCACCCCACGTGACCTAATAATATTCATCACCGGCATCACACCCACCGCGTTTTCACTGTTTATATTTATCTGAGGGACTTAGGTTTTTTTTGCCTTCCAAAATTATTTTTTTCACAACCCCTTAACTGTCACCGGTCACGTGGGGTGAAATTTTAATTATAAAATTTGTGGTGTTACTACGGTAAATCTGGGGAAGATGTCAAGTCACGTGCCAACGGAAAGATCAAAGTCATATGTACTTTTGGCACCGAACAAGATAGAAGTTATGCTACAAAAACAGATATAGTTATAACTTATAAATGATGAATCATTTACGTGGGTGATTGATCACAGAGAATATGTAATCGGCCTTTTCGCAAAAAAATTGAATGCAACAATAGAATGCATCGATTTTGTAACATCTGCAAAAGAAATAATCATTTCACTAATGAATGTAAATTCAGAAACAATCGTGCACCGCCAGTAAATCACCAACAACAATACTACCCAGTAAATAGTTTTTGTATAAATTTGTACCAAATGGGCTCATCCATATATGATAATTGGCTCTAGATTGGCTTAAATTTGGATTACTTTTTGCATAAATTTGAGCTAATTTCGAGCCAATGAGCCCGTTTGGTATAAATTTATACAAAAACTATTTACTGGGTACGATAAACGCGTGGATTACATAATTTATCCATTAAAAATATAATTAAAAAGATGATTAATGACTTAATGTTATGCGGTAGAAAAAATTACAGTAACGGCAAAAGAATGTATCATTGTAGTAATACCTATGATAGAATATCAACTTCAATGCACCGTTTTATTCAGGAATTTAATCAAATCCAAATGTCATTTGGCAACAAGTACAAGTAATTGTATAGTGTATGACAAAGACTTTCTGGGTTGTAAAAGTATTAAAGCGCTACAAAAAGAATCCTTAATTAATTAAAGCCATCTACAGTACTAATCATAATGGAACTTTAGGAAGAATAATGAAATTAAATTGCGTCAATTAAAGGAATATTATGGTTCAATGGATGTATTTTTAATGACGTACAGCATATTCGAAGTAATAATAGAGGAATGTAGAGGCATTAAGGAATTTGGCTGAAGATAGTATCAAATTTTGTAATCACAATGGATACATAAACACGTAACCAAGGGGAAAGTAGGCCCATGTACTACAAATTTCTAGTTGTGAAACTTCATTCACACGGCCCATTTCTCGTAGATTTATCACAAATTTCAAATAAATGTAAATTTTGGAAATTCTTGGAAACTTGTCCCGTTTCCATTAAGTTTCCACCCTATTTTTGATAATGGAAACTTCATTTATATGTTGTTTATATTTATATCACACTGAAAATAAAATAAAATGAAACTTTGTTTATTTTTCAAATATATTCACATTAAACTATAATCAAATTTTTTTATTTCATTAAGTACATTTTATGATACTAAAGTTATACTTTTATTATATTAACGTTGTATTTTTATTACATTTATTACATTATCATTATATTTCTATTATATTAAAGCCATAATAAGCAATGATATATTATAATTCACATCATATTGTCCTAATAAATAAATGCAATATAAAGTTAAAAATCTTGATTTAGTAATAACGATAATAATTAATTAGTAATATGATCTTTTTTTTAATTGAAACATACCATCATCCAAGTTCTAAGCATCCGAAGCCAAAACTTGCAAAAAAAGAAAAAAGGAACATTAGCTAACAATTCTTTAAAAAATAAAGATAATTTTATATTCAAAACGTACCATTACTCGAGAACCCAAACTAAAAATGAAAGTGAGAAGTGTTGAAGTGTTAGCTAGAAATCATTAAAAAGACAAAAAAAAGTAAATTTTTGAAGCACATACTGAAACATATTTCCTGTATGAAATAGGACCTTGCAAAGATAAAAGAAAGTTAGTAGATATTTAAAATAAAGACCTGCCCTTCCTTACTTACCAGAGATTTGCTAAAAGACACTTCTTAAAAAGAAAAAAAGGAACGAGGTTAATGTTGTTTCTTAAAGTAAATGTGGAAGAAACTTTACCAAAAAGTCCAGGGAAAACTTTCTAAAAAGGAAAACATAAGCTCCGACCTCTTGCGTAATAAAATAAAAAAATAAAAAAAAATAGATCGTATTTTATTAAATAAGTCATGTGACTGATCGAATTAAATATAAGTGATTAATTGTAATTATTTGGAATTTAATAATCGATTCATCTGTTAATAAAAAAAGAAATTTAATAATTTAATAATAATTTACTATAATTTATTGTTAATTTACTTGAAATTTAACTGAAATTTATTGATGATTTGCGTATAAAAATTTAATATTAGTTTACTAGAAGTTTAGATGATAATTTAATTGAGATTTAATAATGTAAATTTATAAACTAAGTTTCCACACATGATTTATCTTGTACATTTCGTTATTTCCAGCTGTAAATTAAATTTAACTGAAGTTTCACAATCACACGTTGAACTTGTTAAAAATAAACAAGTGTGATAAACTCCGTGTACATCACATTACTTCGACCAGTGGGACATACAACGATTGATGAAATGATCAATAATAAGACGTTATCAGTTCTAACGAAGGGTGGGTCCGCCGGTTGGATTTTGTACATTTAGTATAGATCAATAGCGTAGGTGTCTTTTTTGTAAAAATTCATTGTACTCTCGTATCTCACAAATGTATCTACCTCTCATAATTAAAAATAAAAATACAATAAAATATAAAAATAATAAGACATTATCAGCTAATGTGGCCAGTATTAAATCAGTTAACGTTATGTAGTATGTCACGCAATTAATTGACGAAATAATAAAATGAAAACCTGGAAAAGATTAACTAACGAAGCAGGTAGAAGTAGCAAAGGAAAAATACTACCGGGATGATTTATTATTAGAAAATAAATTAATTAAGGATCGTAGTAATCGGGAAGTATACAGTAGTAGCTATGAAATAATAATTAAAGAAGTATATGATGAATATAGCAATAACAAAATAGTTAAAAATTTTTGGAGTGATTTAGAATATAATTTCCACGATAATGACGATATAGAGACACTATTAAATATAGATAATAGAATGAAAGTTATAGAAGATATTTTTATTAATTATGAAGGATATAAAATATTGATAGATAGTTATATTAACAATTTAAATTTTAGAGTTGATGACAATCTAAACATTTACACGGATGCTAGTAAAAATAAAGATAATCATAATAGTATAGGATGGGTAGTGATTAATAGTCAAGGTAATATCATACAAAAAAATTATTTAAAATTATGAACAATTTTGAAGTTATCGAATTAGAGTTATTGGCAATATTAGCAGCGTTAATGATGGTTAAAGAAAATAGAAAAGTTAACATATACACAGATAATATGGGTGTAGTCGAATTATGGTCTAGTTTGTTTAACGAGAATCGAATTATTTGGTCAACGCGCCGAATTTGGAATATTAATTTTGGAGCGTCATTAATGATAGTAGATTTGAAATTTCTATTTTTAAAGTTAAAAGTCATTCAAATAATTTGGGTAACGATTTAGCTGACGGATTATGCAAAGCGGCGCTTTTGGATAAGGCAAAGATGGAAGGATTAACAGTGAAATTAATATCAACAATGATTATACATGGGAATACTCAGTATTTTGGAAAAATACGATAGTTAAAAGTAATCCACGTGAATTTATGAAAAATATCAATCAACTAAAATATAAGCGGATTGGCTAGCGCTAGATATTAATCGATCATATAGGATTAATATTATGGATATTGAAATAGATTGGCCAGCATCGCTAACATCAGGAGTTTAAAAAGGGTGTAAATTTGCAATTTGCAAAATTTCACATGTATAAAAAATCACGCTAAACTGCGCCCTGCACGGGGATCCACGGGACATGCAATACTATGAGTTTACTTAATAATGAGAATCTTTGAAATTATCTTTGTAGTGAAAAATATCAAATTTATTGTAATAGTAAGAATTTTTGAGTTTATTTAATAGTAAAAAATTTCAAGTTTATTTTAATAATAAGAAGTTTTGAAGGTATTTTGATGGTAAAAAAGTTTGAAATTTTTTGATAGCAAGAATTCTTAAATTTATTTAGTAGTAAAAAAATTCCGAATTTCTTTGATAATAAAAATTTTCATATTTATTCAGCAATAAAAATTTACATTTTTTAAATAAAAGAATTTTCATTATTTATAATAAAATTTTCGAGTTATAATAAACTGCCATTGCAAATAAAAGATTATACTATAAATCTACTTCGTAATAAATTGTTTTGCATTCTGCAAAAAAAAAAAATCTACTCAAATAATCTTGAATCATCATTATCTTCAGAACTTTCATCAGTACTATCAAGACTTGATTTTTCTTTTTCATTTGAATCATCTGGGATGTCAGATTCTTTTGGTATTTTATTTTCTTTTAATAACATCTATTTTTAAAGAAAACAGTTAGTATGTGTTTTACAATTTTACTTATTATAATAGACACGTGCATACCAGAAAGATTGAAGATCGCTTTTTAATAGCATCTTCTGTACAACGAATCTCATTACTGTGTGGATTCAAAACAATGCTACAGACAGCAAGAGCAAAGGAAATAATTGAAGGCGTCAAACAATTATTTTTGGACTCTTTTGGCATTGCTTTTATGATAATTTCATTAATTACAGAGAGTCCAGTATCATCTGTATTCCACAGACTTGAATAAGCTTTCATTATACGATTATCTTTTTTCCAATTGGCAATTTTTATGCCTGCATTCGCTTTTATTTCAGGAATGTTACACACTTTAAAGAGTGCAGATCTTATATCTTTTGCGAGCGAACCCCTACGATGACGCATTTTTTCTAAGCACTAATATATAATAATTCAAATTTAAAGATGGTTACGGTGTACCGTTTGGATGAAAAGTGCCAAAATTTCGAAAAATTGATTTTTCGAATTTTTGAATTTTAAAATCTCCTTATAAGGAGATTCTCCTTATAAGGAAAATCTCCTTTTATGGCAATGTAACGTTACACAAATGTCCAAATAAGGAAGTTGGTGTTACCAAATTTCCTTTTTTGGACGTTTTGTGTAACGTAGATCTATCCTATAAAAGGAAAATTTCCTTATAAGGCGATTTTAAA